CCGGATTTTGAGCGCTCGATCCACCACCTTGCCCCGGTCGACCATTGTCGTGAGGTGTACCAGCCCAAGGATCACCGGAATGACTTCCCGCCGGATTGCCGCCCTGCTCACTGGGCACATGTCGAACACCACCGCGAGTGCCACCCTGAACACCCCCAACCTCGAAGTCCTTTCCAGCAGAACCCATCCAAGGCTGTGGCTCAACTGATCGCATGCCGTGGCCCCCAACCAGAGCCTTTGAGGACCCCAGCATTCCAGGCAACCAGGATTGAACTGCCCCTGCTGCAGCAGACACCCGGTTGAAAAACTCCATCAAGCTTGTCCTCGGTCCACTGGGATGCCGATGTTGATCCCCATAATCATTGCGAGGATCTGGAAGACCATGTTGTTGGTACCCCCTACGACCTCAATCACCCATCACAAAGGACCCAGCAAGCCCCCATCCGCCGGCCGTGAAGAAGACGTCATGCCCATTTTCATGGCCTCAAACATCGAGCCCATCATGCCCATGGCCCAAGGAGGTGGCTGCCCCCACTACTGCTGCCCAGGTCCACTCCAGCGACTCTCCATACGATTGCCCATGAAGGCCTCACGCTCACTCCAAAGCCTAGCGTTCTCAGAAACTAGATGTTGGATCATGGCACGGAAGGCTTCAGGTCCCTCCCTTGGTGGGCTAACCCCCGTCGGCTCACCTGGAAGCAACTCGGGCGACTCCTGTTGGATCTGAGGCAAGTCGGCAGGCCTAATGGCGCGCAAGATCGCTTCATCTCTCACGCCCTCCGACCAAAATGGATTCGACCGCCCAAGCACAGTAGGTGGTCCTGATGGCCTCATCATGACACCATCAGTGGGTCTTACATCTTCGATCGCTCTCACCCCCGGACCCCCGACTCCGGGGTCTTCTCTGAGGTTGCTTCTTCACTCATGGCGAACCTAGGAAAAAAGAGCCAGCCTCTAGTGCGTAAGGCTTGGGCTCATGACTCATAACCCTCACGGGTTTCAAACCGCACTCCTTTTCTTTTTGATCAACAAAAGGGCTTCAAAGTGTATGTGGTCATGTACAGACCCTCAAGACAACTTCACAAGCGTGCACACTTTCCGCTACAGCGGTTCTTATGACGAAAACCATGTGTTTTACGGCGCTTTCGGGGTTGCGGTTTCCCGGAAAGAAGCCAGGGCAGCCGTCTCCGCCCACGGAGGCTACCAGGTTACCATCACAACAGCAACAACAACAAGAACAAGAACAAAAACAAGAACAAGAACAAGAACAACGACAACGACAACAACAACAACAACAAACCAGCACCGTAACGGAAACCCCCGTCGTTTCCCTTCCTTCGCTCTCCTCCCTTCCCCGGCCGGCGCCCGGCTGTCAGGCGTAAGCCTTTAAATGCGGTTTTCAGTCTCATTTATCTTCACCATCCCATTGTTTTGTGTCATTTATCCCAGCCATGTGTCATTTCCCAGCCATCCTCTTTTTCTTGTGTCCATCGCTTCTTGTTGTTGCCCAAGCAGTTGTTTGCTCTTGGGGGGGGCCTTTGTTCGTACCCTTTCTCACCCACGAATGACCCAAGTCTGATCCTCGGGACACCCTCTTTCAGCTTGAGTCCCAAATGGCCTTGAACATAAACCAGCGTGCCAAGGCCTAAAGGTGCAGGCGCTTGTAGCAACAAATGTTAAGTTGATTGCATTGCGAGAGGGATCAGCGTCTTCCGCTCTATCCACTCCATCGCTCCATTCGCTCCGCCCCGATAATGAAAATTAAGTCACATCCCGGATCCTCTCCAGCCCATTTGGGATCTTTTGCGGTTTTCAACGTGTGAGCTTTGAGGGATTTGTTGTTTTGTCGATTGATCGACAACGCCATTTTTCGGAATGTCGGGATTCCAAACAAATTTGATTTGCACCGGATTACTTGTGCGAGCCTAATATGCGTACAGCCACGTGCGCGCATTGCTCACCGTTCACACCCACAGCGCTCCGCTATATAGCGCTTATTGTGCGGGCTGCGCTCCGGAAGTCACATGTCGAAAGAGACCGAAGTCTGAAGTTTGACCTGGCCGATCACAGCGCCTTTCTGGTTCAGGAGGACAAGGCCCGCATGGCAATGAAGGAGCAGGTCTGCGACCAAAAGATACAGTGGTTGGTGTCCAGCCCACCATGGAGGTATGTGACGAGGGTCAAAAGTGGTGGCCTGGACTTGTACGAGGTCCTGCCGAACTCTGCCCCTTCAGCTCCGTGGCCCGCTGGTGCCTGACGCCGTGAATCCGTGTCGATGGTTGATGAGTTGAGTGAAGATGGGGGGATGCCTGGCTGACTTGATGACGCTTGACCTGCGGGTCTGTAGTGTGATCCCTGAGCAGGATACCTTTCGCGCGTGACTGGTCTCATCAATCGTTCCCGCGGGTCAAAGTCCCTATATGGTACGAAGGAGTCCTGAAGTTGGGTCTGAGAAGTTGCGTGCGTATGTTCAGGTATATAAATCTGTGGTCGGAATTCCATCTACGTCACTGGACTGGGAAGAAAGGTCATGGCCACCTTAACGCAAAGTCTGTTCTCGGGGTTTGCAAATCAAGAAGGCAAAGCAGGCGCCGGTCCTTCCGTGGAGGTGATTGATGAGGTCGTGTGCGTGTGAACCTGAGCCAAGCGAGTGAGGGCGGCCATTTCATCAAAGGTCAGTTGCAGAGATGCCTGGACCTGATCCCCACCAAGCGCGCTTGGACAATACAGGGGGCTGCGCCGTCTGCGGAAGAGTTCCTTAGCTCACGGCCGGCCGCCGGGTTCACGCGCCCTTTTTGAGTTTGGGGCAGAAGCTTGCTCATTCAAAAGTTCCATCACACACACACACCCTGAGATGTTTCCATTGCCCATCTTAACGTTTCAGTTGTGCGTGAACCGGTGTGCCAATTCCGCTGGACCTCTTGGTTGAAGGGCAAGGCTGATGTGCGCATTGGGCCCCGGAATGCAAGACCTTTTTTAAAGGCAAGGGACAATACTCAGGACGTCAGGTCTGTCCGCAGTAACGAGAAACCATGGGCGACAAGCTAGCGCCTCAAAGCCAGATGAAAGTGAGGCAAAGAAATCCATGACGAAGTGCAGGCTGAACGTCTCCTAAGTAAGCGTCCGTGTGGATCCCATTTCTGGTCTACACCCGAGGCCCTGGAAGTGCGCGAGCGTGAAGAGTATAGGACACATACTCCTCAGCTTGTTGCTCTGGCAGAAGCTGGGTGACATGGAGCTTGCTTCGCAATATTTCTGAGTTGCACGAGGAGCTCCTGACTGCCTTGGACATCCTAGGTCCTTACTTGATACCCTACGAAGTCCATGATGAAGATGGTGTTCCTAAGTTCGATCCAGCCTTTGAGGCTGAATACCAAGAAGGCCTCAGCCAGACGTGTCAGTATACCCCATTGGATACGCAACTAGGATGCCGAGAGCGCCGCCATGGCGGCGCTGCAGCGTTCCACCAAACGGAGCGCTTGAAGTTCCTGATCCAGATCCGCAACCTTTGCGTCAGAGGCACCAACGTTCGGCTTCTCTGTGATGGCTGCGTGCCCAGCCTACCGCTGGAAGTGGAGCACAAAGCTTCGTCAGCTTTCCTTGTGGACTTTCGCAGGCGAGTTCGTGAACTGGCAAACCTGGGAATGGTATTTCAATGTGACTGATTCACAGGTCGCATACGTTGAATCGTTTGATTTCACAACGCGTCCCGCTGCGTTTTTGGACGATCAGCAATGAGCAAATGGAACTTCGAAGATGCTTTGAATGGAAGTGAGTGGCACCCAAAACATCGCATTTTCGTTTTGCAGGCTTTGCGTCAAGAACCATCAGGATCTATAGGAAAGAGGTTTCACTGATTTTCGAGCGCCTTCGTTGTGCAAAGATACCAATCCCTTCCCCTCTCAATGAACAATTAAGTGGGGATGTTTCTGAACTCCACCAACATGCTCTACTAGGAAGGGGAATCCCTTTGAAGAGCAGGGGCTTGAAGCGCTTCTACCCTCTAGCTGGGCGTGAACTGGCGTTGCCCAACAATGGTATTCCAACCGAGTTACACGTGGCATTTGGCGCAAGTTTTTGTTGGCTTTGGCAGTCATCAGCGTTGGTGCCATTTGGGAATTGCGCGTTGTTTTGGTCTTTTCTTGCGCATTGAAGAGCGTTCACTCCCGAGTGTGATGACATGGAGTATGATGACCTCGGCCGAGGCGCTTGGACAAATCAAAAACATCATTTATTCCCAGCAGTTTGTTACCTTTTCCGACCGTTTTTTTTTCTAATGGCCGGTTTCTGATTTCGCATTGTTCTGATTCAAATCGTTGTTGGAGGCCTTTTTTTGACCTACTTCCGCAACTGCTTCAAACACTTTCCTGATTTCTTTGATCTGTCGGACCTCCGCCTTGTTCCATGTGTCACTCCGCCGTGGCGGGGCAACCCGTTGTTATGGAGCAATCAAACCAATTCAAGAAAGCATTGGATTTCGCTACTAGGAGCAAGGACGCTACTAGGGGCTCCTGGCATCGCTGCTAGGAGCAAGGACGCTACTAGGGGCTCCTGGCATCGCTACTAGGGTGGAGGGACCAGCGGACCGCTTGTACGATGCCCGTGCGTTTATTTCTCTTCGACTTAGTCCTCTTTGATCGCCTGTTTTCGCAAGCGCCCTTTGCATTCTACTTACTTCGCTGCGCAAATGAATAGTGACACTGGCGATCGGGGTTTGTTGTGATTTCTATTTCTTTTTCACTGGTTCTGGTGGGGTTGTCGTGGTGCTCTTCATTGTTGCTCCCTACTCTTCTTTCTCTCTGCGGGGGTGCCGCTTGCGAGTGGAGATGGTAGTATAATTTGGTTTGGCATTTCTTGCAGCGCAGCTTTTACCTCACTTCACTTGCTGCGGTCACAATTTAAGAACCGTTTGAACATTCAAAACAAGTTCCAATCTTCCCCGCATCAATGCGGCACGAAGAAGTCTGAAACTTCTGAAGCAGTGCATGAACCAATGTGAGGCAAAGCTGGCTGAGGAACGTCGCCGTGACAGGGTTCAGCGGATGAACCGAGTGGAGGCCAGGTGTTTAATCTTGTTTCTTTTCGGAACCTTTGATCCCTGAACTAGCGTGCTGTACACCTTTGTCCTGCTACCCTCTACCTACTCCACCCAGAAGTAGCTCCTTGTTAAGCTTCTTGTGTTAAGTTTCCTTCAAAATCTAGAAACCAAATCATTAGTGCTAGCGCTTCTTCAAGGAATTAGGGCGGCGGGGGGAGCTTCCTTTTTTTTTTACTCTCCGGCCAACACTGAAGTCGAGGCGACCAATGAGCGTTCCGCAGCAAAGGTCTAGCTCCGTGTTGAAGCCCATCTCACAGAAGTGAGTCAAACAACATGGACCATGAATGCGGTGTTGCTTTTGCGCCGCGTTCAAAGGCCCTGCAAAGTACTTCCAACGTTGGATTAAATAAGACTTCAGCGCCAATGAAAGCGCCCTTCGGAAAGGTTTTGCCATTTGATTTATTCCCTTTATCGAGAAGCAAGGGCGCCACAACAACTTGCTTCAATTTGCAAAACGAAATGCCCGCTCGAATGATAGTGGCATAAGCATGCGGGGTGCACAGTGTTCCAGCAGGAAGGTCAAATCTGCACCCATGCACAAAAGCTGCGACTGCAAGTTCAAAGACTGAGCACGCTAGGCCATCGCCGAATCTCCAATGACAGGAGGACATGAATTGCAGGAAGGTCTGAAAGTTCGTGCTCGACAACGGAGGCTTCTCTGGGCCCTTAGTCATTAGGTCAAGATCAGTGTGCCAAGTATAGTCCTCTTGTTGATTGTCCCAAGCCCATCTAGGGCACAACTGACGAGGTGTAAGTCTCGCTGCGGGTGCAGTGGTGGCCGCAGGGGCAGGTGAAGCTGTCACTTCAGGCTTCTTACAAGCCCTGTTCAGCTTGGAAAGCCATAGCTGCCTGGCGTAGACATCCACTTCCTTGACGCGCAGCTCACACTTGATCTTATTGGCTGCCTGATCAATAACATTCTTCGCAACCTGGTCTGCTTTGCGGATCAACCATATATCTTGCACGGTCGAGCCAGCATCCTGGGCCTGTTGGGGAGTAATCTCAGCAATTGAAAGATGTTCCAAAAGGTGAGCCGGGCACCAGGCCAATTGGAGGGGCGTGGCACAGAGGTAGCGGCGACGATGTATAAGCGTCAACAGAAAGCCCCACCACTGCGCATGTGTCCACTCCAGTTGAATCCGATCATGCTGTTGTAGGTCGGCAAACTGGTTCACGATCGTCAAAGAGTCGGAATGCACAATCAGGGGTCGATCTGCCATGGCAAAGGCTACTAGCACGGCCCAAAGCTCGGCGCTGTAGCTCGAAGGACAGTGGCATCTTCAGCAACCACAGAAAATGCCGCCATGGTAAGCCAGGGGTACTGTGCCAGCTGAAGGGATCCATCCGTCCACACATGGCAAGATCCTGTGGTTGTAGTACTCCACTCCTGGACTTGGAGATCAGAGACACAGGACACCTGTAATTCGGCCCGGATCAGCCCAAATGATATTTCAGCAACTCCCAGAATATGAAAGTTAGGCCCGAAGTTAGGTCAACTGGAAGACCAGTACAGTCATGCACAAAATGCTCAAGGGATTCTTTTGCTCCCCCGCAGAACCGGCATGCGGGACTGTCGATGAGGGCTGCAGCAGCAAGACGGTCGGCCGTAAGAGTGCATCCTGTGAGGGCACTCTCCCAGTGGCACAAGAATGAAAACCCCGGGTTGGATATGGCCCCTAACTTCTTCTTGGCCGAGAGGGTCAACGCCAGGTCAAGGAAGCCAGTCGCTTTCTGGATGTCTTTGCGAGGCATCTGACAACCTGTCTGGTAACATTTGTTGGCTGCAAGGCTGGTAAGGATACACTTGAGGTCCTTGACACTGTCAATTGGTCCTGCTCATACAGCCTCTCCCACCTTTGTCTAGCTTGGAGGGAGCCTTGCAGAATCTGACTGACTCAAGAATGGTCGCAACCGCACGAAACAGGAAAGGATCAAGTTTGTGTGCTTTATGGATGATACACAAAAGAAGATGCTTCGATCGCCACATAGGCCGGTTTTGCCACAAAGCATCGGCTATTGCGCACTGCAGCCTAGCCAAGAGCCGCTTAGGCAAGAAGTTCAATTGCGGAGCAAATGCAACCTGCGGCAAAACTTTGGTGGCCAAAATTTGGGCTCGCTTGGAGCTGTCACATGGCAGGGACCGGATGGTCTCACAATCCCTCAAAGCAGCTTGGAGCTTGGTGATCGGAAAGCATCCAGCGTTCTTCCTCGTCGTTTGGATCAAAGCTCCAAGTATGTTCACTACCTCCACAGCCTTCATCTGCGGGAATGCCGAGCGCAGCATCTATCTGCCGCAGAGTGCTGGATGTTGCAAAAAGCTCACATTTTGAGGAGTTGAGGAACTGCCCACTGAGTGAGTCCCATAACTCTGTTGCCCGAACTGCAGCAACCAGGTTATCCAGTGTTGACCAACAAGTCCAGAGGTAGGTGTCGTCAATGAAAGCCCTGAAGTCAACACCATCAATGTGGGCAACAATCCAGGCCCACACGGCCATATGCAGGTTTATGCAGAGCAGGCTTAAGGAACATCCCTGGACAACGCCATTTGCTGTGGAGATTGGCTGAGATCTCGTCCACTGTTTAAACGACGAGTAGCGAGTCATTCTGGTGTATAGCGCAAGGAACCCACAAGCAAGACCCTTTGGAAGGCCCAAGGCCAACATGAGTGTCGCACAAAGCTTGGGGATCAAGCGGTCAAAGCACTTTGATTTGTCCAATTTGAGGCCAGCGAAGGAGCCCTGCAGACTGTGAGCAGCATCTATCTCCATTTGTATGGTCATGTGAACCTCTGACATTTGTCGCCCCTTTATGCCCCCTTTCAGTTGCCATGGCATCACCTCTTGCTGCCATTGTTGGAGCTGAGCAAAGCGAAGGCCAGTGTAAAGCAGGGTGAACACGGACTGTAGAGAAATAAGCCTCTTTGAAAGGGGAGCATCACTGCCATCCTTGTTATGGATCTCACCTGTGTCAGGACGGTGGGGAACTCCATGCACCCTGCCTCAATCTGGTTGAAGAGCCTAGCCACAGGCCGGAAGGCAGAGGGTGGTAGAGCTTGTATCTCGTGGGTTTGCCATCCATCAAGCCCTGCAGCTGCATCAGGCCGTCGCCTGGCTGCTTGATGACAAAGCTGGTGTTCGTCAATAGGAGGCAGTGTGATACCACGCCCTTTGTCGTGAATGTAGGGCCACACCTGCTTGAGGACTAACATTTCATGTTCGTGATCAGCATTTGCAGAGAAGACCGAGTCCCATTTTGCAGCTATCGTATCCATGGCTGTCTGTGGGTCATAGATTATATTCCCGGTGTCATCCTCAACCAAGTTGGGCGGGGTCACCCGTCCTTTGCTTTTGAGAAACTGGTAGACAATCTTCCCAATGGTCATGGAGGCGGTGGCATCTTTCATGGACTCACGCCATTTCTGAATGGCTGCGATCTTGATTTGTCTCAACTCCTGTTGTGCAGCATGGAGAACAAGCTCAACCAGGTGGGGAAGATCATGTACAAAGATCTGCTTGACCTGGTATGAGACCAGTTGGGCAACTTTAAGTCTGCGCAGAAGCTTGTGCTGAGTGTTACGGAAGGTTCGAGAGTCCCCCGGCCCACTGTCAACACGATGGAACCGAAATTCAAGCTCTCTCAACGATCGAAGAATTGCCCTCAGGAGCAGAAGGTACGGGGAGGCACAACTGCCACTGGCATCCTGAAGAGTACACTGTCGTACTGCTTGGAATTTGAGCGTGCTCCCCCGAATACGGGGTCCCTTCTCCCATTGGGCTCCATTGTCCTGCAACAGTTGCACAGCATAAGCGTTGTAGACCTGCCATTTCTCATCCGCTGACACGGCTGATTCAAACTCTCGATCAAATGTGTGCCACAATTGTTCTCCTGAAAGTTGAACAGGGCAGCCAGGGTCATCGGGATCAGCCTTCTGAACTTGAGCAAGGTTCATTTTGGCAACTTTCTGTAAAACAGAGCCAATCTGGTGAACACGATCCCAAATAAAGGTGGCACGAATTGGCCTATGCTGCCGGTCTTGGTGCTGGAGGACCTCCATGCCAATCAACGCTGTAAGTGCTGTACGGTTCACGAGGATACCATCAATTGATGACTGTCCCTCAGTTTCCGAAACAGGATTGTGCTGGAAAAAGGTGGGAGGCCGCGTCACTATACCTTGTGCATCTGTCTGCAGCAGTGGGTCAGCCCAACCCCAGTGATCAAGGGCTAATTGGACAGCAGGATACACGCCCGGCTCCATTTGGAAGTCGCCAGCAAGCGCAATCGGAATATCACTGAACTGCGCCGCGACAGTAAAGAGCTGATGTAACAGTTCGTTGTCCCTCTCAAACTTTGTCCGTTCCGAGGGCGCGTTAGCGATGGCATAGAAGTTAAAGGCCAGGAGCTTAACATTGGCTGTCACTTGATGCCATGTAGCCGTAGCACGGGCAGTACTGCAGAGTAAGGACCAAGTACCTGAAACATCATCTTTGGCATCGAAGAGCTTCGTGACCTCCCGGCTGGCACACGTGGCAGTACCTCCCGAAAGGATGCGGTACTGGCCATTGCTGGCCCGAATCCTGTGCAGTGGTTGTGAGCAGAAGACATGGAGGTTGCTGAGGGCAGCCTTGCGCTGCGCATCAATCATATTGGACTCTGCAAGGCGAGCTTCTTGCGTCAGGAAGGCATCAGCCTCCCAATGAAGGCAGTTCACGTTCGTGTTGAATGAGTCGACATTTGCTGAAATTATAGTCCATCGTGGTCCCTCCCCGGGAAAGCCCAGAGTGCAGTCAAAGAGCAGAGAAGTCCAGCAGTCAAAAGGGAAGAAGTAGTCGTCCATCAAAAAGGAATTCCAAATTCGATCATAGTCCCATGGTGGAGCGGTCCTCTCCTTCATCAAAAGATGGGAGTACGACATCGCCAAGGGTAGACCAACATGCAGAAGTCGAAGGTGCGCACTGATGT